TAAATAAATAAATAAATAAATAAATAAATAAATAAATAAATAAATAAATAAATAAATAAATAAATAAATAAATAAATCTATTTATATAAAGTATTCATATAGATATTCAACAAAGGCTTAATGACAAAGTCCTACTTAATGCCAAAAAAATGTTTTTTTTCAGACTAAATAAAAAAATTGCTTGTATTCAGGTCTAATTTCTTAGTAAAACATCATACTTACCATCAGAACTTAGAAAGAGCAGCTTTGATTTGGGAATGCTTCTAATTAGTAATATAAGCTATACTACACTTTTGGGACAAAACTTTAATGATGTGAATTAGAAAAAAGTGCATTTATAGAGAGTATGCACTTATGTAGGTTTTACTGTATATTGAATATTACTATAATTTACATGTTATTGATGACTATACTAAAAACATATAGTTTACGCTATCACTGTTTTATCTACATAAAAAATTTTAACTGAAAAAGTATATATATACTTATATAGTTTAATTTAATAATGTAATTACAAATATGATGTAGTAGTTATCAATAACTGCTATCTATATAGTTCTATTAGCAGGAACAAAGTTTTTGCTTGGCCAGATGGAATTGGCACTGAATCCACTAATCGATTTGGCTTTTGTTAATACCAGCATTGTTATTATCAATATTTTTCACAAGATTATTCTATTACTAGTTCCTTTGGTATTAACTAGTAATGTCATCAATACTCATGATAAAACTCGATAAAAGTCTAAACTATCCACATGATAGGTTAATACTATTTATATTTTTGAAACTTTGGCTAAACCGTGAAAACTGTGAAAACTATCAAAATATAAATTGATAAAACTTATATACAAAGTATATTATCGAATAAAAGCTATTTGAATAAAATCTACTGCAATTTTGTACCTAAAAAATTTGAAAATGATTATAGTAAAATTAGTTCTGAATAGAGGCTACCTTCTCACTTTAGCCTGAAAACTTTTTATTTTTTTGTAGCTTTTATTTAGTAACATACTGTACATGCAAATTGTAAATTAAGAAATAAGAAATTTATTGTGCATTATTTCTTTAATTAATATATATTAGCAGTTAACATTTAATTAAATAGTTTTTAAAAGCTAATTATTGTCATTTTCAATTCCTAAGACCTTATCAACAATATTTGATGCTTCGAAATTCATATTTTCATAATCTTTGCTTGATGTTTGTTTATGTTGTGGTCTAAATTCTTTATTATATGATTCTGTGATATTAAAATTAAAAAATGATAAAGTAAGATCTGTTAGATTTTCGATATTAAGCTTTGTTTCAGATTCTATAAATATGTTTACATTTGAAGTAAAAGCAGAAATAGAAGTATTTTGATTCATAATACAAGACTCATCACTATCAAATATGTCATTTGTGTTATTAGCTTCCAAAGATAAATTAATCAAAATTGTCATCATATTAGAACATTCTCGTAATTCTTCTTCTGTTAAATCTTTTCTATAATATTCAAGTTCTTTTCGTATTTCTGAAAGCCAATACATCTTTAATTTAGTCATCAATTCAATATGCTTAATTGTTAGCTGATTTCTTCAATCTTTATAAAACTATTTTAAGATAGAAAAATTTTGTTCACATGCTGCTTAAGATAGCACAATAGAAAACATTTTAATAATCAAATCTTTTAAACTTGTATGATAGTTTATATTATGTGATAACTACTATTTAAGTGATGATTCTTTTTGGAGATCAAATATTACATTATAGAGTTCTTTATTATAAACAAATTTATGAAATTCAACCAATAAATTAATACAGTCAGCTTCATCATATCTAAGAGATTTTTAATAATTACCAGTTGTAAAACATGCTAGATAAAATGTATGATTTTTAAAACTGTATCCTAATAATTAATATATTAATAAAAATTATAATATATATAATTTATAAACTTAATAAATTAAAGAGTGTGGTAACCTAGTGAAGTGGATAGGTTGTCAACCCTCAAGTGGCAGGTCTAAGGTTCAATTTCCATAAATGATGAATTTTGGAAATTATATCTATGTTACAGTAATTGTCTTTTGTTGATCAGTTGGGTTTTGGGCATCTATAATCTTAGGTACACCAAGTCGGATCCTACCTGATATTGGGAGCTCAGAGCATCTATGTGAAGTGTAATATTACACAATATATATATATAGAGGAATGTAAAAAACTGGTGTCATATAAGGCTTCGGTGCAAACCTATGATAAGACCACCAGGTGTAGAAGGCTAAGAAACTGAAGAGACAGAAACTTACTTGGAAATCCTGAGTAAAGAGGTAACACAAACTTTTGATAGTGCCATTGGACTGATAGAAGCTCATAAAATATCTTTATAAGAACTGTCAGATAAACCAGATAACAAAGATGTATAGAGAAGCACATGACCAACCAGGCTGCTAAAATCATTAGAAGAAAAAGATATATAAGTATACTATACCAGACTATCTGAATTGGAAGTCTAGAGAGTCAGTTAGTTTTGAGTTGTGACTAGTAAGAAATGATGGAGAAGAAGTCAGAAAGATAAGTACCAGAGTTTGGATGAACTTTAAAAGGGTAATAGTGGTTTAAGGGATAACCTTAACTGCAAGTGTTAGTCTTGGTCATAGTATTAAACCAGGTTAGTAATAAAAGAGAATACAGCTTGCTCTGGTAGATTTATCTTAAGGATAAAAATAGTCTAAGGATTATAGTCCTATGATCGAATACGAATAGATCTGGGTCTGTAATCTGATAAATTAATATTAGGGTTAGATCAGAGGGTTTAAATAGAATATCTAAGCAGGGGTATTAGATATAGCAACTGGTAAAAAACCCTCAGGCAGACTCCTTAAATAAGTAATATAGAAAAGTTACATATGTAGCCAGTTGTATACTTGTCTAATAGTTTATTATAGATACATCTATATAAAACATGTACCTGTTATAAGTATTAATAAAAAGTTCAGACCAAAGAAGTCACCTTAATACTAGAAAAAAAAAATTTTTAATAAATTTGCTTACTATAATATGATGAATGTAAATAATAACTTAAAAGATATGTTTCATGATTAAGTTCTTCATATCGAACATTATAAATTTTTATTATTTGTAATTTAAATGAATTTATTTCTGAAAGTCGATGAATTACCACAGCTAATTTTAATATATTAATATAGCAATCTGTCAATGTTGTACTTCAGGCTTCAAGTCTTTCAATACATATTTTAATCAGTTGTATAACTTGATTAATAAAATGACAATTTGTAAAAAAATTATCATTATTAATTGTATTTTTTATAAATTCATTTGTTAAGCTATTTCTATAATTTGTTCAAATCTAAAAAAAAAAAAAAAAAATATTTAATAATTTAAAAATATTATATAAATTGTATATATATAGATTATTAAATTTTTCAGTTAAATACTGATCTTAAACACATTAGTAAATCCGTCAAATTCTATAAAGAACACCATCTTGTTTTTATATAATTATACAATCTGCCATCTTTAATATTCATTGTACAAATTTTATCTTCAATTAATCGATTAAGTAAATGTAATTTATTAAAAAATCTTATTATATGTCTACAAGTTTCTATAAATATTTTGATATAATCGATTTTAATAAAATCTTTTATAATCAAATTAATTAAATGAGCAACACATCTTATGCCTAAAATATGCAGATCATTATAATTTGTGATTCTACATACAACTTTGTAATTATTTCCAGAATCAGTTACAATTGCAGAGAATTTTTCAAGTTCAGTTGATGTAATTATTGTACTTATTTTAGATATTAAAAATTCTTTAGTATTTGATGTATTAGAATAATCTTTTAATACTACAAGATATTCTTTATGATCAACCATTGTAATAATGTAATTATATATAATGAAGCTTGAGGAGAAGACCATTCATCTAAACCTAAAAAAAATAAATTAATAAATATATTTTATTTTTATAAAATAATTCATTTTACTTACTTAAGATTAAATAGTTATTTTTCTCAAAAATTATAGAAATTTCCTTCTTCACTTTTGCTGTTTCTTTTTCAAGAATTCGATTAGATAATATCATACATCCAGGTGAGTGGTATGCAGGATTAAGTCACATAAATAAGTCTTGTATAAACAGGTTATCAATAAATTCAAATAGTATGCCACATTCAACCCAAGCTTTTAATACAGCATGATCAAGTGAATTCTAATGATTTATAGAAAGTGACTCAGAATTATTTGTATCAACTAGATGCATTGATTTGTGATATTTTATCTTCAAAGTTCTTTGATAATTATTATCTTTATTACTAATTTTTTCTTGCTAATATTTTTGTTTGTATGATGGACAATTAAACATTCATTGGCCAAATGTGATTTCATAATATGTGGTACTCCTCTTTGCCAATGCTTAGAACAATATTTGCAGCGAACAGGATAGTATTTTTTGTGTTTTTCATCAACATTATAATCATTCCATATTTCTTCTTAAGGCCGACTACCAGAATTAGATTTTTTATTAATTGAAGAATCGCCAATAGCAATTGTATTATTATCAATATTATTTGACATATTGGTAAGTAAAGAATTGTTTAATTATTTGGTTTGACGCTAGTTTTATTCTATATAGTTATGTAATTCGATTTGATACGTAATAGCAATAATTTAATTTAATCAATATTAACATAATTATATACCAGTTTTATCTTTTTTATTTTATCGGTTTTAACAACATATAAGTTAAAATTAGTTTTATCATGTGATAAAATCCAAAACATAGTGATGACAAAATGTTATGATGGCATCACTAGTATCAACCAACCAAGATGCTTGGTTCCATGAGTTGGCATTAGATTAACAGTTAATATAAGATGCGTACGTACAGTACTTACAACCAGTGATGTAAATTGGATCGGCGCAGTAGACGCTGCGCACATAGATTTAGAATTATTTGAATTTATAACACTGTATTTATCACTATTATTATATTTATATCTAATGATGATTTTTTTTATTTACGTAAATAGAAAATTTTTACGTATCGGTATCTCCACATGTTTAAAATAATAACACAATCGAATAAATGAGGATAGTGTATCTTTAATAATGTTACATTAGTGAAACAATTTTACCTGTTACGTAGTTGGACAACCCATAATGATATCATTAAATAAGATGAAATAATTACTAAATCTATATATTATCTGATCGCGTTTGTATTTTTATTATTTTTAATTCAATTTTCACTCATACAACACAAAAAATTTTTACACCTTTTTTTTTTCTTTTTTTTTTCTTTTTTAATCGAAACAAAAATGAATTTGATTAACGTTAATGTTACCATAACGGGAATTGAAGTCACATATTCTGATGGTTCACCGTCGCGTTGGCCAACAGAAATTACGCCGCGACAAGATGGGTATGGTAATATTAGTTATTATCGACCCATAATAGAACCATCGGATAAAAAATTGCAATTATATTTAACAAAACTTGGAGAGGCTTTAGCTAAAGTGTTGTACAAGGATTCTGGCATAGAAGTTAGTAATAGTAAGTATGATCTTAAAATTTTATGTTATATACTTTTAAAATCTTAACAAAATTAATTTATTATTTTTTAACAAAATTAATTTATTATTATTTAGGTGTTCTAACACAATTACCAAATGGATACAAGCTATTTGAACATATTAAGCAACAACATAAATCTGGTGATATTAGAAAAGATACCTACCTTTTTGGTAATTTTTAAAGAATATTATCAATTAATTTTCGCGTTTTTTATATTTAAGAATCATAATTTACGTTTACATTGATAGGTGGTGGAGTCGATTCTGGTATAAAATTTCGTTCACCCAATGAATTCATTGACCATTTGTTATGGCTCGCGTCCGATAAAACTTCTCCATGTACTTGTAAATACTGTGGTGGTAAAACTTATTCTAGTAAAACAATGGTAAAATCGCAAGAACAAGCAAGATTTCGACGTGGAGAATTGGTTTGGGCTACTAAAGATCAGATCTTGAAAACTGATGAAAAAGATACATTGGATTGTATCAAGTTTTGGCCGGCCGTGGTTATTGAGCGTATAGTTGTACCACCTCATGTCCTGTATACATTACAACGAATCTCACTGGATGGAACGTTGAAGGTTCGCCAAAACAAGATGATGCCGTGGCTGGCACTTGATCCGGCAGATCTTATGAAACAATTTGATAATCAAGATATGACAGATGATGCTTCACTCTTTTCAAAATTTCTCAGAGCAGTCAATCACGCAAAGGAAATGGCCTCAATGTACACACCAATTATTAAAAATGAATATGCATTAAATTGCATAATATTTGGAGCCGAAGTGTTAAAGGTGAACGATTATGTTAGATTGACGTATGAGAAGCTTAGCGATTTAGAAATGATGCAATTACCAGTGTTTAAAATCACATCAATGTCTTTAAATGAACATAATAAACTTGAGATGAGGGGTGACATGTTTTTGAAAATGCCCACGAATGGTACACCTGGAACAAAGTTGATTAGGACGAACACCGAACAAACAGAGTATCCACTTGATTTGACGCAAATAGCCGGTCGATTCTACATGAATTATCCAAATATTACACGATCTGCAACACCAACTATACTTACAACATTAACGGATAGGCTTAGAACTATACAACAAGAAGATGGATCTAAATTAGCCACAAGTGAAAATCGAATCCGGAAACAAACAGCAAAGAGATCTATGATGATTGATTAAGGAATGGTCGACTATTTGACTGATCATAAAAAAAATTTTTTTGAGTAGAGTATGGTCGGTCGATAAATGATCGATTACTAAATAGCCATGCCTGACACTATGTATCACTCGTATTATATTCGCTACAATAATTGTCAATTGTATTTTACGTTATTCTTGCGACTCAAATTTAAATGCAAATGCTTAGACTAATTAACACGAATAAGATTAATATCCATTAAATAGTATTAAATATTTCAACAAATTTAGATAACAATATTTGTAATTCCGCAGTATTAAATATTATGCTTGAAGTTGACATCTGCTTAAAGTTTTCTGTCTGAAATTAGATCTTGCAGTGTTGCAGAATTTTTCTAATGCATAGAATTATTTATGATTTTCCTTTTAATTAGATGTATATCGTTTACCTTTTTACTATCTGTATCTTTTTTTATTATATAGTTATATAGTAATATTGTTCTTTTCTTTAACGTTAGCAGAAATTATATATAAATAGCTGCTTGTCGCACACAATAAATAAAGAACTTGAAGTACAACTTTAGGCGGATACTAATGTTGATAACGACAGTAAATCAATTGAACACTTTATAATCCAGATCGATTATTATTGCCGAAGTCGTTGATATTAAGAGTGATATTTTATTGTAAGATCGTATTTAGAATTGCTATTATGTGTCCAGTTGTAAATTGTTGATGGTTTTGTCGCATCAATTTTTTTTTGGCCTTTGCTAATTACATATGATATGCAGAGCAGCGATTCATTACAACAGTTGGCGATCAAAATTTATATAATAGGTTATGCTGGATGTTTCAAAAGTTCCACTACACGGACTTTGTTTTTTAACTTTATACGGTTATATATATAAAGTTACTTAAAAAGAGACCGTGCATGTTATATGAATACAGTTCTATATAATATGTGACGCCAAGGAAAAACCATACTTTAGCTTTCAAGTTTATTACTCATCCCTGATCAGAGACATATGACACGTAAGTAAATTTAATTGCGTGTCTTATGTCTCACCGTCAGAGCTGAATCTGGTAAAAACCTGAAGTCTTGTTTTCTTTTGACATCACTCATATATAATATATATATATGTATGTAGGTTACCAATAAAACTTCTCATCAAGGAATAAATGTCAATAACTGATTCGATCTCCAAAGTGATGTGGATGAATGAATACACTCCACGTAAAGCCACTTCTTCGCCTGATTGGAATTTATTATAGTATTAAACATAATACCGGCCGGCTTTCTTAAAAAATAATTGACAGCGGTCCACTATAAAGGTTTCAATAGATCTTATAAGTGATTTAAAGAAGGTTGAATTCATTAGATGAAATATAGATTAATATAGATTAATATAGATTACGAGAGAGTGGATAATGAATACATTAAAGGTGAAATATTTGCCAATTGCTATTTATTTTATTTGGTTTTTAAGTTTTAAAAGAAAAACCTTTAAGTATAGTATTAAAACTTTGGTATGACTTTTTAGTATAAAAATTTTAGTACAAGTTTTACCAACTAATTTTGCTAAACTTTATTAGACATAACCATCTTCAATCAATCAAGCTGTCAAATTTCTGTAGGGTTGTTACAAGGTCACTAGAGTCAGTACTTTAATCTACTCAGCACGGACAACTCATAACTACTTATGAGTATAGCATGAACACATAGAGTCTATCTCAAAACTACTTATGAGCTCAACATACAGATATATGTTATTAGTTATTCCGATAGGACTAGTTAATAACTAGTCTTATTAAACCCTTTGATCTCATATCTTACCTATCCTAAGCTTTTTAAGAACCCGACTAACTTGACTTAATGCTCAAACTAATTTATCTGAAATCTAAACCTACTAGAGTGTAATTTATGTTGAATATTATTGTCTCATTTCATGCAATGTCTGTTAAAAAAATTTCCAATCAAAAATTTTGATTAGATAACACAACAGATCTTTGCAATATTTTGCCTCGAACATTAATCAATTACTGATACCCTAGTCATAGAATTATAAAATATAGACAAGATCAAAATCAAAATCAAAATCAAAAAATTCTTGTTATATTGAACGTTTATCTCTTGTTTTTAGTCTGATAACCTTTTAAATTATAAGGAATTTACATACCTTAAAGTAGTCATGCAGTTAGAATAGCAAACGAGTAAGCCATAAAGAGGATGACTTTGCAATATCTAGATAACTCTGAAAAAATACTATTAATTAAGCAAGAGAAAATATTTAATTAGTCCATTAGATAGAAATTCTACTGTATCTTGCTTGAGTAGTTCCAACTTTTATTAACCTTACCAAGAGTTCATACAGATCTTTTTTTTATAAATTATATATAATACGTTTTAAGACAAGATGTATAAGAATTATGATAATATATGTGGCGGTTGAGTCTCTATTTAAATCTATACTACCTAAAATTCACTTGTACTCTTATTAATAAAACTACCTTTACACCCTAACTTAACTCTAAAAAAAAAAGGGGCCCAACAATTTTTAAAATTTAATACGTATTAAATCTCAGCTTCAGCTGCCACAATATATATTTCTAAAAATTTAGAATTAAGATATCTGATATATGTACGTACTATTTTACGCACATATTAGTTTATTCGAAAATTAGTTCGTTATCTATTTACTTTTTTTTAATGCCAATTAAAGAATTAAAGAAAGTTTTATAGGAGGTAACGGTAATTATTATTTTCACAACATTTAATTACGATAAATAAGGTTTAACGATAATGGTAATGTAATAATGGTAGTGTAACGTTACATTTTAAAGAACAAGAGCGCGCGATAGATCCGTTACCAATCAGAATATGACAAATAAAATCTGATTAACTTTGATTGGTTTATAAAGTTGGAAATTTTTCGTGTTTTTTGAAAAATTTCCCGATGGTAGAAAATACTTTTACAAAACAAATCTTTGCATTCCTATTTCCTGGAAGCCCCCGTGTTAATTCTATCCTTGCTACATTTTATATTTCATCTATACCAAATTTTATTCTTTACTTTGTTCCACCGGATATTAAACCATCTTCATTAAATTCTCTTGTTAGTTTCGCAGTTGGTGGTCTTTTAGGTGATGTGTTTCTTCACTTATTACCACATTCATTTTTAGGTGAAACTTTTGATGATGAAGTTCATTTTGTTCAAGTTGACAAGAAAAAAAATGTAATCATTGGTTTAGCAATTTTTGTTGGTTTGATTACATTTTATATTATTGATAAATTGATGCGTGTGGCAAATGGAGGAGAAGGTGGTCATTCACACGATCATAAACAAGTTATTCATAATGATGATCATAAAGATTCTGGATCAAGTACATCTAATGATTCAAATAATAATGATTCAACACTTCGTCAACGAAAATCTACAATCGAAAAAAAGATTACGGACGAGACACCTGTTACTAAGACACCATCTAACAGTATTAAATTATCAGCTTATCTAAATTTAATTGCAGATGCTACACATAACTTTACAGATGGTCTTGCTATGGCTGCATCATTTTATACATCACCTAGTATAGGAGCAACTACAACTGTTGCTGTATTTTTTCATGAAATTCCACATGAAATAGGAGATTATGCTATTTTGATACAAAGTGGTTTCACCAAAAGACGAGCAATGCTTTCACAATTCATAACAGCTATTGGTGCATTTCTTGGAACTTTTGCAGGAATTATGATTGAAGAACTTAGTCGTGGTGAACATCATACAACAGAAGATTTATTCACAACAGAAAATTTATCATTACCTAAAGATGAATCTGGGATATGGGGAACTGGGGTTGTTGCAGGTGATTTAGTTATTCCGTTTACTGCAGGTGGATTTTTATATATCGCAACTGTTGGTGTGATCCCTGAATTACTAGAAGTTACAGGAAATTATATTAAGGATCTCAAACAAGCAGGTACCGAGTTGTTGGCAATGCTTATCGGTGTTGGAATGATGGCGATTATTGCATGGAATGAATGATAGTTATGTGAAGGAATTGATTTGCAATATAAAGGATGATACTTTTATTCTATATATATATATATATAGGATACTACATTAATTTGGATATTTTTATTATTTGTAATGGCCACTAGATGTAATCTAGGTGTAATTGGTATTATCACTATTATTGTTTTAAAGATTAAATCTGGTAATAATCTCACTAATAATCGATGATGAATCAAAATTTAATTGGTTCTTTCCATTTTTGTTTTTATTTTTTAAAAAATTTAGAATAAAAGGATTATGCCAAAATTATCCAAAAAAAAAGACAAAGAAATTTCTTATTTTAGAACATTTACAGTTCATGATGCAAAGGAATCCTATTGAAGCGTGAGCTCAATCTCCAATTGGAACCAATTCCATATGAATGTTTCATATGTAACTTTTAAGCTTGAGCACCCTATAATCAGGAAAATTTATCAAGAATTTATCTCTTAATAAGTCTATAATTCTTGTAAAAAAAATTTTCATCATTGAAGCTGGTAATGTTCCATTAAATTGTATAGAGTTATAATCAAGAAAATACTTGATAACCAAATACTTGATCAAGATCAAATCAGTTATATGTACTAATTTGATTTATCATCGTCAAGTTTTTGCTTGATCGTGCCAAGCGCTATATATAGTATGTTATGACACCAATAATCGAATGACCACAATCGGTACTAAATTGGTTTATTGTTGATTTTTGATATTTAATGTTAGACTAGTACAAAGATACGTTAAATTAGGGAACTTCTATTTTCATCATAAAAATATACCATTTTCATCATATCTTTTACAACGTGATTTAAGTTATACAAATATGACGGCCTATGATGGAAATTGTAAATTTCCGGAAATAAACGTTCCCAAAATTATTGACATTACGTAGGAGAGATATTAACAAGAGAAAAATGTTTTAAAATGAATTTTGCATACCATAACATCGAATAATTCCTAACGATGTTATTTTGGGACACAATTTAAAAAGTTAGTAATTAAAAGATTTTTAATCGACTAAATTAATTCTTAGCTCTCTTTAAATTTTGTGTCAAAGTAACACCATTGAGTGTTATTTTGAGATAATCATTGGCTGGAGTTGAGGAAGCGAAATAAGTCTGTCTTTCAAGCATTACTTTACGAAATTTTTAAAATGATCTTGGGATCCAGAAATTTGAACCCGAATTAGGGATACAAAATCTTAGTTTAAAATATATAGCTGATTTTTATAAAAGAATCTTGGGTTTAAAATGTAATAGTTGATTTTGAATTTTAAAATGAGTGATAATTCGTTAACTTTCACTTTATCGGATTCGTCCTGTTAACCCCTGAAATTTGGTACCCTGAAATATATTAACCGTATGGTGTTACAAAGCTACTAAATCTAAAATATTAAGTATAATAGAAGTACTAGTTCAAATGAAAGTATTAGTTTTAGTAGAATCAATAGAAAACTTAGAAATAGTATAACTCGCAGAAATTGTAGCAGAAGGCTATGATGTCTGAAATGTATAATTAACCTTGCTACTTTTTGTGAAGTCAGCAATAAAAAAGAGTAATCGTGTCCACATACACAAATAACTCGATTACTTTATTGAATAATAATAAATTTATTGCACGACTACTTGTATCTTCATATGAGACTTCGTGAATTTGTTTATTTGATAGATTCAGAAATAGTGATCTGAACCAGTTAACCTTAATCGGATAACCGAACCGAACCTAAAAAATTCGGGTCAATCGGTTGAGTAAAATGCTAAATCGGCTTATAGATGGGTGTCTAAATTATTTTAGCATTGGCGTAAATCTAAATGGCTAAATTCTTTTAGACTGCCTAAATCGTAAATAATTTAGACTGTCTAAAATATTTTAGTATATCTAAAATATTTTCGCCAGTTTAAAATGTTTGAATAATGAAAATCAAATATTCTAAAATTTAATAATATTTAGAATACTGAGACTGACATTTAAGCTAAATAACTTTAAGATTTGATTATATTGAATATTAGTGAAGTTTTTTACTGCAATTTTTATGATTTAGTTTATTAAAACCTATTATATTATATTGTGTAAATTTATGAAAATACTTCAAAACCCGATTAATAACGTAAATATGGTTTTTGGCTGAGATAACAAATATTTTCCAGATTAAAATGCATTTTTAGAACAAATTTATATATAGAAAAAATAGATTATTTTGTAAGAAAGTTCCAAAATTTTTTTTCAGGTTTTATATTAACATGTAATTTGGTAACTAAAATTTAAATTTAGAAACTAAACATTTGAATTTGGTAACCAAATTTTAGCTTTTATAAATTCACTTTGACAGAAAGTTAAGATGTTATAAAACTTTAGCTAAACAGTAAAACAATATCTATATACTATATATTATTTATATATAATAAATAAAGATACAAGATAAGTAGATATAAAAATATATAAAATGTTCTATTGCAATAATATATATATATATACTAAATAATAGCTAAAAGTAAAAAATCTTTATGCATCTTTACTTATAGATACATTAACTTTACTTGTAGATGCATTTATAATCTCATCAATATCATAATTATATTTATTATTTTTAGGTTCCAAATTATTATAAGTTATTTCATTTGTTTTTTTATCCAAAAATAGATTTAAAATCTAATATTTCTTTAATTTTCAAACTTTCACTATTGAATTGTAAAAGATTATTTAAGTTCTTAATATTAGAAATATAATTAGCATTAAGTTCTTTATAGTGTAGGTCCTATAGCTTAGTGGTTAAGCTCTCATACCTTCTATAGTCAAGGTCAATAGTTCAAGTCTGGTTGAAGACAAAATTGAAAGATTTTAGCTTCTATAACCTAATAAGGAGCCTGTAATTGAATGCAAAACTCTGTGGTTAAGTTCAAGTGTAGTATAATAATAGAAATAAAAATTCCCAAAAGAAGATCCAATTGTGAAGTGCAGGCACTATGCATAACAAGTGGTTGTTACAGAAGGTTACAGTTATGAAAAGATTGTGCATGTAAGTTCTTTAGACTAGGACAGCACCAACATCCTTATATCTCCTAATATAGGCAGTACTAACATCTCTGCACCCAACTTGTAGAGTACTTGCTTGGAAGAATAATCAACAGATTGTGCAAATAAGTCTTAATTAGAATTCAAGAAAAGGATTTGATTGGGAGAATATTCTGAAAATAATCAAGACTGGAATGATGAGAGAAGCAGTGAACACAAGAATGGACTGTGATAAAGGATTGGTCTAATCAAAAATTAGAAACATCTCTATCATAGTCAAATAATCTAATTATAGAAGAAAAAATCTTGGAAATTGATATATAACTTTCTTATATAATATAAAAGTACCAAATTGGATTTTTGATCATACCTATATAGAAGTCTATGACAAATAAAACTGGAATTAATCAACCAATATGAGATAAGATCTGCAAGATAGTATGACATTACTAGGGTTAATATAACTTCCTGAAACATAATCAGAATCATCCTGCAGATATTATCAAATAAGCTAAAAGCTTACAGTATATAGTAATATGGTATTACTGAGATCAGAAGAACTTCCTAAGTATAACCAGAATTATTCTGTTTATAAGCATAATAAGTTTCAGTTTTTATTATAAAAAAGAGCATCATGTTGGAGATTAAATGCAACATTAAGTTACTGTATAATATTAAGACCTGAAACATCTGCAAAAACAGTAGCAGCAGACCTAACTTAAGATATAGATTGATCAAAAAACCAATGGTGGCAGTAGATCTGACTTGAAATACAGGTTTATTACAGATCTTAGATCATTGTTAGAACATTTTAGAGGAATCAATAACAGGCATACCAAAGATGAGAAGATTATAAGGATCAAACATATTTGAATAAGACCAATTTGAGAGTGATATAGTAATAAAAAAATAAGAAATATGGAGAATAAGATAATACTAGATATAGTTAGATTAAGAGACAAAAAAAACAAGACCAGATAAAACATGTAAGTGGAACATATAAGTATGATTTACAGAAGACAGTACCTCTGGTATTTGGAATGCTATATTAAGTTTGGTAGGTATTATTGTCTGTGTAGCAGTTTAATGATATGCCCTAATCACAAGTAGTTGTTAAGATAACTGCATGCAGATATGCAGCAGACATGCACTTAGATGCCATAAGGGTAACCAAATAGAGTCAATAGTATAAAATTAGATAGTATATAGTATTTTTTTTTTTTTTTTTTTTTTTTTGCTCTTAAGCAGCCACGCTAGTACTTTATTAAGATTCTTGTAACTATATAC